TATCTGGATTTTATCGCAAAATAAACAATCCTTATTCCCTAACTGAGTTATACCAAAACAATTTACAAATAAAACATTGAATGAATACGTTTAATATTTCGTAATATTTCGTAATATTGGGAAATGAAATAGAGACAGACAATACAACACTGTTGGCAATAAGGTATTCTGCCAGGAATCTTGTATTTTTGTCAACAGATCTTAAAACGCTCAATCTGCAGCACACAGTGTGTTAGTATCCAACTGTAATTCGAACATTATTATCTTAATCTTTCTGGGCTTCTAAGCATAGCTAGTAGCGAAGTATGTTTATTACACTTGCGACAAAATTTTATTCTGCCAGGAATCTTGTATTTTTATCAATAGATCTTAAAACACTCATTCTGTAGCACACAGTGTGGTACTATCCCACTGTAATTCGAACATTATTATCTTAATCTTTCTGGGCTTCTAAGCATAGCTAGTAGCGAAGTATGTTTATTACACTTGCGACAAAATTTTATATTCAATTTGTGAGAAACGATGGAATGATAGCAAGACCTTTCAATTAATTGTAGTAGAGGGAGTATGCAAAACTTCACTTCCAACTACGCCGAAGATTGGGCACAATGGCATCTGTGGTCAGATTTGTTATACGGGTAACAGGATATGTTGCGATATATATTCCGATGGTTTCTCGCCATTAAAGGAACAGTGGCGGCATTTCCGGGACTAAATCATAACTTGGTCTCAGAAACGTGAATTGTTCAACTTAAGTATTCAGTAATTTGAGCCCTCAGATCCATGTGTATCCATAATTATCTATTTTTAAACGTTATTTTAACCAGTCGTTATTTTAATACTTTTAATTTTGTATCCCTTGATGACGTCGTGTGTATACAGTAGACTGTCCCACTTCGTCTACTAAGAGCTGCGACGGAAGATGTCCTGGTGTAAGAAAATATATAATAATATCAAAAATACTCTCCACATTGGGATACCTCAAATTTCACAGAGATAAGCTTGTGAAAGAAAGAAATACAAAGTTATTTCTTATTTGAGGTCTATTTAAAGGAATTATACAATTTTCGTACAGTTTTAATTTTCCTAAAGACTATTTACACATATTCAAGGCCAAAATCAACCCCAAAAATGACGAACCTTGGCAAACATGGAATGTTCAGTTACGTTGTGTGTGTTGCATGCTAAAGAAATTGAAGTATTGAATAACGAAACCCTTGTTTAATAGAAAAATGTCTGGTATTGATAATCAGCTTTCTTTCATAATTCTCCTTTCGTGATTTGAACGTCCATTGACTAAATCTCGTCATCTTTAAAGATTTGACCTTTCTCTGAAATTTCAAATTATAACCTAATGACAGTTTGCACACGATCACTGCATTCACTTAACAGGAGAGAGAAACCAAAACCAGACTCGAAAGCTTTGATAAATCAAGATGCGTTTTAAGAAATGTATGGGTACACAAAAACATTATTGTGATGTATGGAAATTCATATCATAGATGTCAAAGAACATAAATAACAAGAAGATAATACATAATGTAAAAGAGCTCAATGAGACAAGTTAAAAGAAAAAGTCGGTGCTCTATAATTATCACTATTGATATTCTTATGTTCTTAGAATCTACAAGTCAAAACTGTAATTATTTGTGACAAGAGCTTACTTCTAAACTATTTGTTAGCTAAAATGAAAGAATTAATATATCACAATATGAAAGCGTGTCAATTTGACATTGATACTTAAGAAATCTGTGACGAACATAACGGTAGTATTTGCCCTATTTTTTTTAAGGATGAGGTCGTGATTTACTTTTATCTGGGATCAATATTTCCTGTGATAAGAAGGACGCGATTCATCATTAAATCAAGGAAAAAAAGCAACGGGCACTTTTTACAAGCATAAGTTGTTGCCTCTTGGCATTGATCTTTCCAAGGTAGACAGTATTAATGTAGAGGAAAGATGACGTTGACCGCAATTAGATTCGAACCCACGACCACCATTTTTATACTCTCTTCTCGACAGCTCAATCTTGACAGACGAAGCCGTGCACATGGTCTGTTAGCTATTTGTAGCCTTCCATGACAGGGGGTACAAATAGGGAATACAACTGTTGAGACTGAATTCAAAAAGCGGCAACTCTGTGGAGGCGTCATAGTGACAAATCTCTTATTGAGCCTCTTAAATTATAGGGTTCCCCAAGATAATTTCCATACAAAGGGAATAAAACATATTTAATAAAATAACTTTAAACAGACTCAGACCACAAATAACTAGTTACAAATATTAAGCTTATTTATCTCGATATATGTAAGTTTTAACCCTGTTGCTAGTTTCACAGTGATGTCACCAGTTCATTAGTTTACAGAATGTTTCAACATTGGTTATGTTTTAGTAAAACATATAAGTGCTAGTTTCACAGTGGTGACGAACACGGGGTTCACTGTAAGAATACTCACGTAAAATACATATTAATGGTTTGTTTATCATCCTTTTAATTTCATCTTAGAGATTAGCATAGCCAAACCAAGGCTGTTTTTCCTTAGAAAATCAACTAAGATTGAAATAGTGTCACTTTTGAAATCATTTCTTGTGAATCACCTAAATGAGATTTATAATAACGTGCAGAAATGAAATAATCACCATAGATTTTTACAATTGTTTTCTTTTAATTGTTATTTATCGGTTGATAATGATACTTTAAAATGAAGTTTCTAGTTGTTTATGTGCAATATGTTTAAACTGTGATATTTTTATTTGTAACGTTTCATAAATTTTATTAGGTTTACGAATTGAAGAAGAAAACTAGTGCATTAGTTGACAGAATGTTTTATATTATCTAGTTTTGGTGAATATATTGGTGCTGGTTTCACAGTGATGTCACTAGTTCAATAGTTGACAGAATGTTTTTTATTATCTAGTTTTGGTGAATATATTGGTGCTGGTTTCACAGTGATGTCACTAGTTCAATAGTTGACAGAATGTTTTATATTATCTAGTTTTGGTGAATATATTGGTGCTGGTTTCACAGTGATGTCACAGTTCAATAATTGACAGAATGTTTTTTATTATCTAGTTTTGGTGAATATATTGGTGCTGGTTTCATAGTGATGTCACTAGTTCATTATATAAACAGAATGTTTTATATTATATATTAAGTAAAATAATCGGTGCTCATGGATTCACAGTGATGTCACTAGTCGATTCCAGCACACGTTACAGATAAATAAGACAATTTTACTGATAGATACTACTAGAATACTACTATTACTTTGAATAAATGAGAGTGTTAGTTTCACAGTGATTTCATTAGTTGACGGCATAATCATTTATATTATGTTTGATAAAATATATCCTACAATGGTTCATTTGTGGCAGAATAAGTTGATCATGTTTGATAAAAAAAAATATTTGCGCTATTTTCAAAATGATGTCAGTGGTTCATTCGTGGCAGGATTTTTCAATATTGCTTATAATGTTTACCATTGCTGGTATAATATGTTGGTGATATTTTCACAGTGATGCCAGTGGTTTATTCGTTGAAGGAGGTTTTAACACTGTTTATGTCTGGTGTTTGTGCTATTTTCACAGTGATGTCAGTAGTTGGCAGCATATTCAGATTATGTCTGGCAATACACATTGGTGCTATTTTTTCGGTGATGTCAGTAGTTCATTAGTTGACAGAATGTTATTTATTATCTAGTTAGGTGATTGGAGCTAGTTTTACAGTGATCTCAATATTTCATTGGTTGGCAGCGCATTTTGATTATGTCCGGTTAATATATCGTTGCTATTTTCACAGTGATGTCAGTAGTTCAATGGTTGGCTGCATATTTTGATTATGTTTGATAAATATATTGATGCTAGTTTCACAGTGATGTCAGGGGTCCATTGGTTATATTGGGTACAATTCATGTTTTACAGTGATGTCACTTGTTCATTATTCGTCCGAATGTTTTTGTCAATTACGTTGTATAATATAGCGGTGATGTCAGCCTGCATCACCGAGAGGTTGGAACCAGGTTGCAATCAGGCGTCTAACTCATTGGCCCACTGACCCATTGGCCCTCTACAATACATTATTAAACATTTATATTTTTTCATTCCTACTCAATACAAAATATTTATTTCTATTGACTCAATGACCAGGCTAAAGTCTAAACTGTTCAATATTTTATAGAATCAATAAATTTGATAAGGTTTTTTCTGTGATGTTAATGCTTTTCTAGATGACAAATTGGTCTTATCGGAACTGATATTTGAAGTAAATGTCAGAGAAGTTTAATGAAAAAGGACACGCGAAATAGGCAAATCTGTGCTCTATAATAAACGGATCTCAAAGCAATTAGTGAGCAAATTGTCGATAAATTGACAACCAATTATTATCACCATTGAATTTTAATATTGACACTTTGGGGTTGGTCATGAGAGAGTACAGATAAACTGCAGCTCACCCTTCAAAATTTGCAGTCCAAAAGGTTTCTCGGGATACGATACAGAGTATACAAATGAAATTATAAATCAAGAGGTCTCTTGAGATGGGTATATGCCTTGGTAAAACAATTGGGAAAATTCTTTGATTCAAAGGTGATCAAAGTTTAAAGATACTATCCCAAAAAAGTCCATCAAGGGTTCAAAGAAACGTCACTCTGTTTTCAAAATTGAAATAAGCTAAAAAGAAAGGCGGCCAAGAGGATGAAGTGTGCAATGAGGGATATTTTGATCAAGCATAATTGAAAGAAAAATTATAAACAATCTGGTTTAATCACAATTATTCACAGCAGAATAAATAACATAACATCAATGGCGATTAAGAAACATAACCGTTTATGAATGAGAATAATATAACAGGCCTACAGATATAAGTATGACGAAGAAAATCCCTTATAATAAATAGTATAAATACATAATAAAATTCAGCTGAAATTCAGTTTTTAACAAAACCTGCGATCAAATTACGTAAAGTAACAAGAAATACCACTTGTCGCCGATACAACTACTTTTAAGCTGTAAAAACCTGCACAGTGTCGTTAGAGGTCTTTTTGGTGCTGTGGCTCGACTTCGTATTTCCTGTCGTAATTTGATTGTTTGGTATGTCTCTCTCCTCGTGGTCTACAGCAACAGAATTTGAACAACATCTTCCAAATAACCTTCGGCAGTGATTTCTTTGTTTTTTCAATCTCCAGATGTAGACGATAGGGTTGAAGATGCTGTTAGCGACGTAAAATACTCCGGAAAGATAGTCAAAGAGCCAATTTACAGCGATATATTGGAATCGGTTTTCCCAATGAAACAAAACCATATTGTACATGAAAATCACCATAGGAATATAACAGAGAGTGTAGAGTAAAGCTGTAACAGCCATTGTAACCATTGTTCTTATATTGTCGGCGGAGAAGGTGGTATTACTACTTCCGTCTGTTGTAGGAATTGCTTTCTGAAGACGTCGCACCTCCTTACCAATATACACATACATGCCGCAAATAGCTATAATACATACTGTAAAGAACACACTGGATAATATGTAGCCAATTTTACCACCGGACAAATAGGCGTGGCAGTACGCCCCGGGTTCATATCCGGTTACAAACATGCCGAAGAAGGCCGCTATACTTACAGTGTAAATAGACATTACAATTATTGTCATCTTTTTGGCTGTGATCCATTCAGTATATTTGTAAGTAATACGTAGAACAAGGAATCGATCTAGTGTTTGTAAAATTGCCATTAAACTGGTTATCACTCCCAAAATGAATAGAAAATACGATGAGAAGTGGCACATAGTTTCTAGTTGATAGACTATAGACAAAACATAACACAACATTGTCAGGCCAACTCCAAAATCTGTTAAAACATGACCAATCAACATGACTTTAATCCTTTTCTCCATCCGCTTACTTGTTGCTACTGTAAACAAACTTCCACCATTCAAGAAAATCAACACCAAAGAAGTGAATATTCCCGTTACTCTATTGTACATAGCCATGATGTTGCTTTGTCGAATAACTTTTTCCAATTGTGACTTCAATAACAATTTCTGGGGAATTTATAAGATTTCCGAATCAACCAATAAGAAAAGGTATAATTATTAATTATCATTCGGACAAATAAATATATGAAAAGTAATTCCGGATTTACATCATATGTTAATGAAGAAATTCTCGTTAACGTTCAACTGTAATAAATATCTCATTAGCAAATACAAAATGACAACCATATAAACCTGTTGTCGATGATCGATGAAAAGTGTATTAATCGCAGAGTTTTATATAAGTTAAATTTTAGGTTAATCCATGCGTCTTTTGTCAAAGTTACTTTGTTTCGACTCAGCCATTTAATTAATAACATGCAGCTGGAAGAAACCGTCGACTAATCATCATGAAATGATTGTTTGTCAATGACCTGGCAGAGTTTTTCATAACCCAAGATTACCTCGTGCAAGATTCATTTTCCATAAGCTCTTACATATTTTACACAAATAAGTTATGGACTTAAAGGCAATTCTAAACAAGTATACCAAATAAACATTATTAGCAAATTAGATGCCAATAATGAAGATATTGTCAATATTTTGTGATTCTGTCTTCAATCATATTGCATATTATAATGGCTGAACGTCGTAAGTTCAACACGTTTGATCATTTTAGTATACCAACACAAATTAGACTACGCTTACATTTGAGATCATTGCTAGCTCACTGCTATCTGTAAGCTAGTTGAACATTATCATTTGTATAGACTTTGCTGGTAGACCGAGTAGTCGTAAAGGTCACTTTCCCTTTTTGGTCTTATGCTTTTGGCTGAATGCTGAAAACCAATAATATAACTCTTCTTTGGAAATATGCATCAACTGTAGAAATGAAATGATAATGAAGGAACTCATTACATTAAAAGCAGGATTTAAGACCTTTATTTTCAAATTGTTCGTCCTTTTTTTTTAACCTTTAATATTACTTATTAAAACCATCATTTCATCTTAAATGTATTATATCGATTTTGTAACATGATGTTTTAATTTTGCATTGACAGATTTTTTACCATTACCTTACTCAGATTTCATACGTGTTGAAGAAATAATATTGTGACGGCTGCAGAATTTTGAAAATCTATTCTAATGGCGGTGGAGAAGGGAGGGGAGCTGGCAAAGTTGAAGAAAAATTGTTAAAAAATACTTGTTATTCTGATTGCTTACAGGGTTATTTTTCTAATCACAGTCGTGGGTAATATGGTGTTTTTGTTGATAACAAAATATGCTGTTAATCCCACAACATTTTTCTGATTCCATCTAATGAATTACTTTCACAGTTTGCAATATTTTTGATTAAATTCAGCACAATGGATTATGAAATGTGTCAGTAAAAGGCATTGATTGAGTTGTTTCGAGTGGCAAGAGGTTCGAACGTGTAAACTGATACGGAGGTTATCAAAACTATACTGGACGTGCGGTCACCAAGTTTATTAAAAATCGGATTAGACCTAAGGCATGCATAGGGAATATTCAAACCATTCAATTAAATAACATTCTAATCATAACCCGTTTTCGGATACATTAAACAATAATTACTTTTATGAAAGTCGGTTGAAAACTATATCAGACTGATTACTCGGTATTAAATTTCAAAATCACCAGAAAATGTCCTATATAGTTAATATATAGGGCGTACGTGGAATATTTATTAAGGGGGCACTTAAACCACGTCTGTGGCAAAGGAGATATGGAAATTTAATCTTGAAATGATATATTCTGAAGTATATCCTTATATATATGTGTTTGTTTTTTTGGATATATATCTAAGCATTCAGATAGCTGATCAGTTTTGCATGTTTTGGCTTATATTGATTCATTGTTCATTTTTGCCTTATAGTGTGGACGTCCATGGTTCTAGTCCTATTTGATCTTATACAAAACTCTTATGTAAAATGTTATGAAAATAAAAATGAAAATGAAAATGTATTGGCATAGGACAGGTGCACAAGATGAATCTAAAATATTAATGAGTGAAACATCAAACAGTGGCTGATAAATTACGAGCACACTATGCAACCTTAGCGCTTTGAGTGGATTTCAGCGCTTTATAAATACAAATATTGTTATTATTATAATTATTATTTTTATTAACCTTTATCTTCAAAAGTGAGTGACGAAAAACAAGGATCAAATTTCGAATAGGCGTATTATTGTTAATTACGTGTCTATAATGGCATCATGATTCTGAATGTTTATTTTTATGAGTATTGGGGACAGTACACCTGCATTTTCTTATGGTTAAATTGATTAGTGAAAAGGGAAAATTATAATAATTCTCATACAAATACTAGCAATTAGGCACTTCGTCTTATACCTTGACTACAATCGCTGCTATTCTTGTATCACGGATTGTAGCGATTTGATTAGATTATACGCCAATCAGAGCTCTCGACATACACAACTATGACTTACATACTTTCTGTCGAGGGCAGCGATCGGCTTTATTTTCCAACGTAAATCCAACCACATTGCTGCATTTACAAACGTCCATGATACAAGAAAGAGGACCATTTATGCAGTCAAGGTATTGGACGAAGTTCGTTATTATCGAATTCCCATGTGCGGTATAATTGCAATTTGGATAATGCAGTAACATGTCCCAGGAACATCATTAGCTTTAGTGGACGTTTGTTGACTCTGAGTTATTCATGACAATGTACTGTAATAAGCTTATACCAAGTAAATTTATCTTCACAGACAAATATTGATCAAAAGTTTCTAATAACGTTGACTACTCCGTATCAGACTATAATTTCAAAAAGTCTTTTCAATAATATTCTAGCTTATATCATATTATATTATAATATAATATAAAATGGAAAATGGCAATATTAGTGGTATTAGTTAGCCTATTAGTTGCATTATCAACTTCATATTATTTGATAGTGGGCTAAAACGTATGTGGCTGAGGCCAGTTGCTGAGTCAAATCATTTCCAGAAGATCTACGCTCTGATAATTAATCTTTAGGCATGACGCATTCGGCAATGAAGCTATGCCTATCTATAAATCTGGCCGATGGGTATTCATTGTTTCCGTTTAGATGCCTCTAGGGTTATTTATAGGCCTAGGTCTTTCTGACACTTTTACTTTAGGCCTAAACGCATTTTAATGTTCAAAGCTATAAAGAAATAAATGTTCCTCACCTCATCAGCTGTGACGATTTGTTCACTTTCTTGATAGGCGTAGCCTACATGTCTAGTAGGCCCCTAGTTCGAAACATACTGCTTTTTTCCTGCCTCTCAATCAGTCTCATATCTATTTTGACAGTTGTCAGCTGGAGTATATTCGAACTACAAAAATATAGCCATCTTTTCGAATATAGGCTATCTGGGTTTGGCGGTTCTGGGTTTTGGAAGAGGAAGTTTAGAGCTGCCCTCTAGGCCCCAAAAGCCTAAATAAGAGGAGATAACTCTAAGATTACCGTATAATATTACTTAACGTGATAATCCCGACTATGTTTACATTTGTCGAGCTAGCTTACAGTATGAACATCATGATAGGGTCTCATTTAACGCCAATTACAGACACACCTGCAATAAATTGTCAAAGCCACAGAGAACCGTTTCACCCCACGCACAAGCGATAATGAATTCTTTTCTGGAAGCTTTTGATAAAACATATCTTTCTGATGAAGTTCTGATACTTACTTCACTGTATGTGGTCAAAGGGAGACTACTGCGTTTCTTGTCCATAAAGAATCGCCTATGTAAAATTGAATTTTCAAATGGTGATGTATTCATTTAGTTGAATATAAAAGCCCAGAGAGCTCATTTCTGACAATTTTGAGGTGCCAAAAACGTATCAAAATCTATATCTTTTTGATTCTGTAAAAATGCACTGTAAATGAATCAATCTCTGCTGAACTGAAGAAGGTTTTGCTTTAGCCAGTCCCCCCCCCCCCCCACACGGACCCCACCCTAAAGACGGGGCTGTTTCTCTCCTTTGGTAAGTAAGATGATAACCAAAAAAATGTGAAGGGGTTAAATCAAGAACAATTATTCTTTAGACATGTTAGCTTTAAAAATTGACCTTGAATGTTTCATTTTCAAGGCCAAGAAAGATGTCATAGATCAAATAATATGATAGAAGCACATCGAGACTGTATCATAGATGAATGAAAGGTTATTTCAATATAGGTAATAAATAATATTATCTATTATAATTATTGATAAGCATTAGATAAAATTATAAATCCATGCAGAAACATAATACTTCAATTACCATGCTAATAGGCTACTAGTTGGCTGGCCTGTCTCTCTACACTGAACTCCGAATTGAATACTTTTTTGTCAAATGTATCCTATAGATATCTTAGAATTCAGACCCGTAACCAGCCCAATGTGCCATTGGGTATGGTTGAATTGCAAAAAAATTTAATCTGTGTCCAGCAAATAGCTGATAGCACAGAGACTGATTTCAGCTTCACTTCAATTGAGAATTTGTTCGAATTTTGCACCCTAGTTACGGACCTCTAAGAATGTCCCTCGTAAGGCTACAAAGATCGATATAAGTTTGAATGTTTAATATTTAAAACAAACACACTTCCCCCAAGAAAATTTCGGACTAAAAATTGCTCTTTGTAAAATCATGTTCACAAATGATAACTTTTTCATTGGTCGGCATTTTTATTAACCTTGAGGCAATCTAAGACTCTCTGTAGTATTTTGATTTGTAAATTCATACAGAAATGATAGGTGAGATGCAATTCTGTGAAGATTGTGGTCTGACAGCACCCTATATGTTTTTATGTTGTTCATCAGCAAAGCAAAAAGTATTTTTTGAATTTTTTCTATATTTTTTTTTAAGAGAATTGGAATATCAGCCTCAAATTAGTACTTCAAGTTTTAGAATGTCTGTGCCTTGTTAAAAATATAATTTTTTGTAAGTTTACATTGAAAAGAAACATTTCCCTCCTAAAAATTTCAACCAAAAAAGTCCAAAAATTTGGCTGAAAATT